CTCCCCTTATAGGTAGGACATCAAGGTCTACTCATCACGGCTAACGGTCCTTTTCCAAGGACACTTTCCGTAGCCACTAGCCAATTAGGTACCTATATCATAGCATTTTGATATCGGTCACTTAAGGTCAGGTCAATTTTGCGACCTCTCCGTTATAAGTCAAGGGGAAAGATTGAAAGGCGCCTATTTTGGACGAACGTCATTCTTAACACCCTCAAACACTGAACTACCTATGTATATGCATGTAGGCATGACACACTGAACCGGGAAATGGCACCCATGTTCTTATGTTATGTTCCTTATGTTCCTTATGTTCCCGAGCTTATCTCAGGTCACGAAAGGTATGCAACACTTTTTCGCTAGCAACTTTTGATAAAAGCATGCTAAATTGCTAAAGCGATGAAAACACCTTAGATGAGTTCAGCTCGGCGATACGGATCGACTGATGCAACACGACTTTTCTGGTCAGGTCATGACCTTGACCTGAGGTCATTCAAATTGACTTTTCAGGGTCAAATTGTAGTTCGATGCGTTTCCACGAGAGGAACACGATCGGAGTCCGAATAGGAGGCGTCGAAAAGGCATAGACTCCGCAGCTCTGACGCAGACAGTGAATTTTGTGTCCTACCCTCAACTACCAAATGTTTTTGAGCTCCTTTTTTCTCAAGAGATTCAATCGTGAGGCGCAAACTTGCTGCAACACGTAAAGCGCCTCTATAAGTTATGCACAATATGCATCTGCAACATAATTTAAAGGCTCTCTCCCAGTCATTAGCTGGAAAACGATGAGACAAAAATTTATATCAGAACATGTCAAAATATAGGGAACTAGAAGTGCTCACCGCTTGCAAACGACACCACCTTGGAACCGAAAATCTTGTCCCTACAAATAAAACGCAGATGTTGCAAGAACATAGGTACAAAGATGGACCTCTGTACAAGTGTGCAGAGGTCTGTTGTACAAATGATACATTTCAGTTTTCCTGTTTATATCGAAAGGGCGTTTTACCCCTCCTTGGCGTCTTACCCCACTCTCCCCTACCTATTCGTAAAATTTGAGGACATACCTATTAGCGAAACAACTTAAAAGCTCTCGAATGCACTTAAAGTTGAACACCTAGGCATCATTATGGGAAATGGCTTCCTGTACCTAGCCAAAGCTTCTCGGCAGTTGCTGAACCATGGACTGGTCTGAGTTGCGTAATACGTTGCGTTTCCAATAGTCCATGCGGGGAGCGGATTTCCTCCTGGTGGCTGCACGCGGTGTGCACTGGAACAGAGTTCCGGCATGCTGCGGACTGGATTGTGGCATCTGATGTGTCTTCATAGTCAGTACCACATGAACAACCCGATCTAGGTCTTGCATATGGTTTGACCTACCTAACTATAAACACTTATTTTCGAATTGTTGAGTGGATTATGTTCACACAGGTGCCATAGACGTCATCTAAAATCAACACCTTTGTCCTTTTTTAAACCAACTCAATAGTGACTTTTCAGTCATTCGCGGGGTGTTCTTCCATATCCGCTTGCACGTGCCTGTTGAAACGTGGTGGCCCGTGCTATCTGAAAGAATCTTGGCCCATGTGAGCCCTTTCGGTATAGTAGTGGTGTGGGCAGTGTGACGATGGAGCGGTAGATCAGCCCAGAACAATGGCCTCGCTCCCACTACTTCCCGGTCTTACCACGCTGGTCGCTCTCGTCGCGACTGGCGATAATATTTGAGTTGTTCTTATACGTCAATCGGTTATCGGTGTGAGAAGCGCATTGCGACAAGGCGGCTCGCCGACTCCACGTGTCGCTCCGTCAGGGCGTCACCGGCGCGGCGGCGTTGGCATCTTGGGCACAGCGACAGTCGTTGTTACGTCGCCGGTAACGCTGTCGTCACGTCACCGGTGACGCTGACGTCACTACGCACGCACGAGTGACGTCGAATGGGCGTCAGTCGGGGTATCACCGCCGTCCACCTCCGCGGCCGGCGTGAGAGGAGGTGACGCAGACGGCCGTGGACCGGTCACCGCAGGTGCTCCCCCGCGGGAGGCCGCCGAGACGGGCCACCGCCCACCGACCGACCGCTCCGGTCACCGCTCCGGTCAGGCAGGGATCAGATCTGTCCCTGCATGACGGGTGATGAATATGCACCGAGCTCTCCCGCCTGCTTATGACGTGTCTGGCGCCTGCAGTACAAATCATCCAGCTCGATTTACAATTGCATACTGCAGACTGTCAGACTTACAACGAATGCGGATGTTGTAATGCTTATCTCATATGTCAGTAGAAGCATCACCCAGATAACATTTAGACGTGTGACTCAACAACGAATCACATTACCGCATCGTGATGCATTTCAGGAATAATCGTACACAATACACATGCTGCGAGCTACCGGGTGCGTAATCGGTAATGAATGGATAAGGAATCGGTAATGAAAGGAGCGTCCACGGCCGAGCCATTCTCCTTGGTTGAGGTTCCCTCGTCCAGGGGTAATATAGCTCTCGTCCGCTGGCTTTGCTCCACTCGGCTTTGTTCATTCATCTTTCGTTCACGTCCCAGTGCAGTGATGAACTGTACTACTCACCAGTGGCACCACAACTGAGCTCGGTCGTCGCCCGGGCGGCAGCTGTGGCGGCTATGACCAGCAGCTGGGCTGTCACTGACCGGGTCAGGCATTCAGCTCATCCGGGCCAGTTCGTTTGTCAGGCTCGGTATTTTAGTGCGGGTCACATTGACTGGTCAGCTGCCGGGCAAAATTGAAATGTTACCGTCATACGGGGGACACACGAATGCACATCTGTGCTTGGTGAGTGTTTCAATTGTGCCGTTTAATAAATTGTGATGTGTGTGATTGAACGACTATGTATGATATTAGATATTAACTTCTAATAACAACGGTGAGGCCATTTTACTTCAGCATGGCGGCGGATGAGAAGGGATTATAACGGAAATGGTGGCAGAAAGAGAGGACCTTTTTTCGGCCGGCAGTTTCCAGCCTTCCATTCAGCTCAATCTGAAACAAATTTGAAAAAGAACGGACTCAATCAGTGTCATAGAAGTTAATCAATATAACTGTCCAAAGTTCGAAAGCAAGAAGTTGATTAAATTTTCATACAAAGATGATAATGATGATTTGGCTGTCGTCGTTGATGTTTAGTTCAGGTAACACCGTATAATGTTGCGTATATAGCTGTAGACTGTTGAGTGATCGAGCACATCTTTTATTTGTCTTGCAACTCCGCGCAATAATTCCCTACCACTCCGACGTGAGAGTGACGGTCGCCGGTTTTCGGGGACCGCCGGGCGTCATCAGTGACGCCAGAAATCCGACCTCCGAGGCCGGGAGATTATGGAGATTTTATTTCACTCGGCCGCCGCGCTAGACTCAAGCCACACTTCTTCTGAGACTGATCCCCACACAGTAATATGATCACCATGCTGACGGCCCGGCGACTCAAATACGCCGGCTGCGGGCTGAGGAGAATTACAGAGCGGCGCTCAGGTAAAAGACGGTGTTTTTCTTGATCACATGGAACGGGATTTTAGGACGGTTGTACGACTCCGAGCATATGCATGACGGCTTTATGAATGACTGCAACAGTCCGTTCAGACATGCTCAAACACCTAACGACTGAATATCTATCCCGTGCACGTCCGTGATCTTGCCTCTCACCGCGAAACGCCACCAGGCACCAGCCTTCCCTCAAACACCTGCACCGGACTGGATCACTCGCGCACCTACTCGAGAGTCTATCAGCGTCGTTCCACGCCATCGAGCGTCGATTTCGACGCGCCAGCAACAGATGACGTGCCGGGCCGACTGCCGCGGGCTCGTCGGAGGCCGGCGGAGGAGAGGAGAAGCGGGAGAGGAGAGGAGAGGAGCGCGGCCGGCAGTCAGTGCCGCCGCCGGTGCTCTCCCGGTCGGCGGCGGCCGTCGGGCGCGACGGCCGCGACGGGCGCGACGGAGACGACGCGGCGGTGACGGAGCCCGGAACAGGTGAGCGAGACGGCGCCACCTGCAGTGAATCTGAGTGGGGTTGTCTGTATGAGGAGGGTTGCTAATTAATTCGTCACGAACTACGGTGGTTCGGTGTGAGGTGCGAGGTGGTCACGTATTTGTTTTAGCCTATAGGGGTAATGAAAGTTCCGTGACAGGACACCAGATATCTTCCGGTGGTCTGTGGGGACGAGGGAGTTCAGTCGTTTTATTTCGGTGTAGCGAAGGGTCGTGCGAAAGTTGTAATTTGTTAGCTAATGTAATATGGTCAAGCTTAATTTGATTCTAGTGCTTTTGGTCCTGAAACTAGTCGAATATTACCTGTATTATACCTTGCGAAGCAGATGTTTCGAGAAAAAAAAACTTGTTGCCACCTGGAAACGGCCCTGGTTTTAACGTGATGAGAATGGCCTTCCCGTTTCAATAATCAATTATCGTGGAAGGCGGTGTTAACGTTTTTTCCAGGTTGAGTTCATGTGAAGGTCACCGTTTTACCAAGCAGCTCTGCAAGCCACTTATTTTGTTCTCAATGTCATCAATTATAACTTCGACTACACCAGCTTATAGGAAACGCCGTTTTGCAAACGGCGCTGCGGATCTGGAGGGAGCAACGGTGCGGTTTTCGTGCACTACATATCCGATTAGTGTTAAATTTGAGGTGTGAGCCGTCACCTGTTCCCAAGACACGCCGGCGCCGCGCCCTCGTCGTCTTTCTTTTTATTGTTAAATAAAAAGTGCTGCACTTAATTCGGACGGTACGGGGAGCGGCATATGCAAACACAGCTCGTCAGTTCCCTCAGCGCTCTTCGGTACTCGGGACCATGTGGGGGCATTTATTCTCACACTCCACGCGCTATCTTCCGAGACACCCCGCGGTACACCGCACGTGCGAATGGTGTGACCGTTCCCATCAGCGGAGGTCAGTTTAACTGCGCCGTGTCACCGGTGAGGGGGTCAGGGGCTCCCAGTCGACCCGACACCCCCGGCCGGCGCGGCTGTGACCGGTCCGATGGCGCTCCTGCTGACCCTCCTGCTGGCGGCGGCTGCCGGCGGATGGACCGCCGCCCAGCCCTCCGGCCGCTCTTCCGCCGGCTCCCCGCTCGGCTGCAGGGACCAAAACAACAACCTGGTCGACTGGTACGTGCTGTACAAGCTGCCCATCCTCACCTACGCCACCGGGTTCGCCCGCAACGGCTCAGCGTACCTGCACTTCTCGTCGGCCTCGACGGAGGGCCAGTGGAGCCTGTCGGAGGTGTCCATCGACAACCCGCAGTCGCCCCCGGGCCTGACGCTGGCAGACGTGTACGATCAGCCCGAGCGGGACGGCCTCCAGTACGTCTTCTACAACGACGAGTGGCCGGACGGCTCCACAACGAGCACCGAGGGTCACACCAAGGGAGTGGTGGCCTTCGAGGGCGACCAAGGCTTCTGGATGATCCACAACGTTCCCAAGTTCCCTCCAGCGCCGAAGGAGGGAACGGGATACAGCTACGCCAGCAATGGGTACAGCTACGGCCAGAGCTTTCTCTGCATCACTTTTCCCACCAGCGAGCTGGCTAAAGTGAATAAACAAGTGAGTCTCAACGAGCCCTACTGCTACGCCTCCAAGGATTCCGGAATTCTGTGCCGACCGAAACAGGCGAAAGAGAACGCTGGTGAACCCTACTTCCCCAGTCGCCAAGATCGTTTCTCGAAGCTGAATAAGCCTACTCAACTTGGAGAGACCTCCAGCGTCGAGTCGATCGTCGGCATCTACGGCACCGAGTTCACCACCTTCGCCAAGAGCCGCGACTACGGCCTGGACCTGTACACCGGGCTGGTGGCTCCGACGCTGACCACCGGCCTGTTCGCTGAGACGTGGCGGGCCACGATGCCGTCCTACTGTTCCGGCCGCTACACGGTGGAGAATGTCCGCAACGTCACAGCCAGCACGGCCAGCGAGGCGTTCGACTTCGGCACCACCAAGGACCACAGCAAGTGGGCCGTCTCCACCAGCGGCGCCCTGCCGTGGGTCTGTGTCGGAGACGTGAACCGGGCCGACTCGCAGACGAGAAGAGGCGGCGGCACCGCCTGTCTCAGGGATGAGCGCCTCTGGAATGTCTACCGACAGACGGTGACCGTTTGGGAGTCGTGTGCTTAGAGCACGTCTGTTACTGCCTTCGTCAGTGATAATGAACATCAGAGCCTCTAAAAAAATGCATACCATTACCTTGATGTAGATTGTTAGGTAAAGGTACCATTAACCGGTTATCAGAGAGACGTTATGCCCATCGTATAGGTATGTTTAAAGAAACGAATCTAGGTACTAACTACATAAACCTCTTTGAATGGGTTCAATGCTCGAAAAATACTATAAATATACATATATTTACTCTACCTACGCCGATCTTTCTTGGTGATTGATATTCCGGCAGCCTTTCTGGGAAGCCTCTGATTAAATTGATTCCGCGTTGCGTCTTCCGCCAACGCAAACACACAACCAGCCCGGAGACAGGGACAACAATATACGCATCTGGTGTCGCTCAAGATGAATTTCATGTTTATTCATCCGTGCTCTCTGCAGTTTGGACGCATATTTGACACAGCGAGGCACTGCAAAGACACCAAAACGTGGTACTGTGTGCGATGAAATGGGAAACAGCAGCGACAGCACGGAAACTAGAACGATGGGCGAACGACCCCGGCGTGACACAGGGACTGCCGAGGCGACGGCGGTTGGAGAGTCGGGGGATGCACCAGCCCACCGCGGCAGACGCACTGGGATGTTCCATTTGCCGCCGTTCTGAGAAAGGAGCCGGCAGAGCGATAGACGGCGAGAGCCATGAGGTGCTGATGACGCGTGTCCGGCCGCCGCCCCGGGGACCACAATGCAGACGCGATGGGCCCGGAGACGCCTCCGGATGCGGCCGCGCCGGAGAGCAAGGGGCGGCGAGGTGGCCGGAACAGGAGCGCGGCCGGAGGCTGCACCGGCGCGGAATGTTGCGCCATGCCACCCTCGATTGGCGACCAATGTGGCGTGGCCGGCGAGCACGGCGGACCGGCGAGACCGTCCGATTGCGCTGTCCGGCGGGCCCGGGCGACCGAAAGTTGGCCGATTGCAGCCTGCCGCCGCGCCGCCGAACAACGGATGAGCGTGTTATTTGCTCGAGTTTTTGGTTTGGCCCTAAGTTGAACAGAAAAACACGGCGATAGCGATAGATATATAGACTTAAAAAGTTATATCTAAACCCACTGTGGTTGAACGATGGATCAGACGCAGATTGTTCTTACCTGGACTTATAAATGTTATATCAAAGCTCACTGTATAAGTATACCTAGAGTGCATATTGATAGGCTGTAGGCGGTTTTTTTTCTTCAGAAAATATCAGATAATGCAGCGCTACTTAATTTCACATATCGATTATAGGCAATCTGTTTTCCAAGCGTTTCGGATGCTTCTTCTTTTCCTAGGCACACTTTAAACTCTATGGGGCACTGGGTAGACCATTTGATGACCGCAAGTCGATCCCCAAAGCCCCAACTGATTCCATTATGGCCGGCTTATTTTAAACGTTCAATCTAATAGACCACCGAGACTACTGCCGCTGTTATAGCAGTGGCGGGTCACGTCTGCTCCTTTATCAGCGATGACCGTGCGACCGACTGCAATATAACCGTCAGCTGCAGGGTATAGGCACAACTGCTCTATATTTGTCACATTAGAAGCATGCATGTCGTATATCAGTAGAATTCAGTGTGAGAGTCCAAATAAAACCGTAAAAAAACTTTTACTTCTAGTTACGGCTCTGACGCTCTTGCGAGATTAAGCGGTAGGTTTTGCACTTTTACATTTCCGGTTATATCTCAGAAACTAATCGATCTACGATGAAGCCATATTACACGATCATGGCCGGCTTGTGAACAGACGATCGCATCTGCACTTGAAAGCTTAACCCGCGCCCCAGTGGTGGTCTCAGCCAACTTCGCCCTAGTGGGGGGGGGGGGGGGCATATGTTACCACCGCCCACCTCTAACTCAAAAACTAAGAGGGCTAAAAAGACGCAGTAAAAAGCAGTCGATAGCTCTCGATGAGTACGTTTGAAAATATTTCAGTCATTTTTCATCTTAGAGCAATATTGGGGTCACCAGAGGTCATCAAAGGTCAAAATTTGCGAATTGTCATTATATTTTTCAGAAAACATCCCATTATCTCAGGAACTATGATAGCTAGAAAACGCTTGGAAAAGTAATCGATAGCTTTTAAACTCTTCTTTTGATAAGGTCATCATCAAAAATGACCTCAGGTGAGTGGTTTAGCCTCCAGAGAGCAAAAGCTCCAAAAATAGCTGTTTTTACGAGAAGTGTTTTTCGCCAATAACTTTTGACTAAAAAACGCCACGACATTTCTATTGCCAGAATCGTGTTCCTCTCGCCGAGACGCGTCGAATGAACTATAATTTGACCTTGAAAGGTCAACTTGAAAATTTGACCTCAGGTCAAGGTCATGACCTGACCGGAAAAGGTCATGTTGCATATCAGTCGATGCGTCTCGGCAAGACAAACAATGAGGCCATCCGCAGCGTTCTATCTCTTTCCAATCGAGAGTTATTGGCAAAAATTTGTTTGTAGCCTCAAATGACCTCTCTAGAGGCTATCAGCATAAAAAGACACCTTGGTCGTCACGGGTGGTCCAAATTATTGTGATTCTGAAATATTTGGACTGTTCCTATGCATACACACGGATCTAGAGGCATTTTCGTTTTTCTCCATTGACTTATAATGGAAAGGTCACGCTACTGACCTGACCTTAGGTCACGGATATAAAAAATCCGAGATATAAAAATTGTAGGCGCCCATGACATCATGCAATCCACCAAGTTTAAAGCCTTTCCGACAAGCACTGCAGGCTGGACATGATTGCAAACCTTTTTTTGAGGCTTGGTCAGATAACTTGACCTGGTGACCTGACCTGACAGGACCTGGGGTCAAAAATTTCACACATTGTCCAAAATTGATGTGCCGAAAGCTACCCCAAGCGACGCGGCGCTACGCGCCGCGGTTTTTTATCCCCACGCAAAACACGCGACAGGGTGGTAACATATGCCCCCCCCCCCCCACTGGGGCGAAGGTTAAGACGACGAAGATATAGGTAGCCTGAAGTACCTACACTAAATTTTATAGGTGCAAAACAATATACAGTACCAGGTTACCGAGCAGGTTAGGTCATCTGAAAATTCCCACCAGAGGAATTATTTTCCACTGCGTTAAGTATCTATAATATATCGTTAAGTATCTTTTTTATAGTTACATGCTTCAACATAATTGACCTATCCCAGCCGATCCAGCAGAACCGTAACCAGACAGGTGATAGGCTATCATCAAAGCCACCGCCGAAGATGCCACCGCTAATGAACTCTGGCTCGGCGGCGCCGCCCTATCGCTCTGAAGTCGGCGCCGGCCCGAGTCTGTCGCGGGTAAACGGGCGACGGTGGTGACACCGCGGTTTATTTCTGAGCTTCCCCCGGCCCGTCAGCGGCCAAACGACCAGACGCCGCATACAAACCCTCCCCGGGGATGGTTAGGGTGGACTTCTGAGTTTTGACGTCGCCGAGTCCAACAGGTAATTATTATGCGGTTAGTGACGTAGACAAAAATCGCCCTCTCCTTTCTCTCTCTCTCTCTCTCTCTCTCTCTCTCTCTCTCTCTCTCTCTCTCTCTCTCTCTCTCTCTCTCTCTCTCTCTCTCTCTTTCTCTTTCTCTCTCTCTCTCTCTTCTCTCTCTCTCTCTCTCTCTCGCTCTCTCTCGCTCTCGCTCTCTCTCTCTCTCTCTCGCTCGCTCTCGCTCTCTCTCTCTCTCTCTCTCTCTCTCTCTCTCTCTCTCTCTCTCTCTCTCTCTCTCTTTCATTCTCTTCATTTCCTTATGTCTGTCTTTGTACTGTCTGTTTCTTTTCTCGATGAAGTAACCGAAGACCAAAGAAACTTTCAACTCTGTGCTCGAGCAGTCTGGCTGATACTTTTACAGCCACTCGGCAAGCCCCATTCGTAGTTCAGACGGGTTGGAAAGATTTCACGCATCGATACGCCTTAGAGCAGGACGGCAGAGAGTTTTAGCGAAAACAACAGTCGTCGGAATAGTGGGTAACTTATTCAGAGCACGGAAGATGGAAAGCTTTAGATGTTGGAACTCATGTGGTTGTCTCAAGTCACAAGACTGTTCATCGCTCATACTGAAAAGTGCGCTCGCATTTCAGCTTTCCGATGTTGGCCCGGCCTCTATATCGTTGCAGACGCCGATGTCATCCCGTGCCGCCGTGCCATCCCGTGCCGCCGTGCCATCCCGTGCCGCCGTGCCATCCCGTGCCGCCGTGCCATCCCGTGTCGCCGTGTCATCCCGCGCCGTGAGATGCCCGACTACAGCGACGTCCCGGTGCAGCGCGGCCAGGTGACCAGCTCGTGCCTGTGGACAGCCTGCCGCGCCCTGGTGCTCGGCCTGCTGCTGGTGGCCGCCGGAGCCGCCATGGCCGCGCTCGGTGAGACATCTGCTTATTGGCGTGTGCGGCTGGCTGTATTGTTGAATTCGATTACGTAGCGCAGCTGGAATGTTGCGAGAGAAATAGGTGCCTACCCAGGCAGAATGTGTAGGAGTCAAGTTGGAAGATCGATCCAATAATTATAGGTATACCTAGGGGAGACCGGGGAGAAGTGGGCCATTATTTTGACGTCAACTTTGAAAAATCGTAAAAATAGAATATTTAATTGATTGCATTTACTGGTAAACAGCTTATTTCTACTTCATTCTTTACTGTTTTTATGCGTGTTTGTTCACGTGTTACTTCTCAAATTTAAATTTTAGGAAAGGTTGACAATGGGGTCAGGGGTGAACTGGGACAAGTCCAGGAGAAGTGGGACAAATGATTGGGAGAACTGGGACTGGTCAAGAAATGTGATTTAAATGGAATACAATTAAAATTTGATGACCAATAACGAAGAAGAAGGCGTTTTAAAACTTGACACTTAACCCTCGCCGGCTGAGGGGGGGGGGCGGGTGCCGCCCCCCCCCCCCCCCCCCATAGGGTTTTTTCGCGATAGCTCCGAACACGCTGGCGATAGAGAGCTGAAACTTGGCATACCTGACCTTTGATTCAAGCCGGATCTTTTAACACCAACCGCATTTTTGGGTGAGGTCAGGTCACTGACCTATGACGTCATAAGTGAACCTCTGCACGGTCTCCAGATGTCGCAACTTCGCAACGCCCTCACTGCCAGAGGAGATGTCACAGGGAAATGAAACTTGCAGGATCTAGTATCCATTATGAGTCTCACAACTTGTATATCTCGGATTTTTCCTTAAGGTCATATTAGGTCAGGTCATTTTCGTGACCTCACCATTATAAGTCAATGGGGAAAAATGAAAACTGCTATTCTGGCGCCGGGAACGATCTCCAACTATCTCAAGCACACAGAATCGTGATTTGATGCACTCCTTGCAAGGTTAGATGCGTCATTTTTGCAATGTTGACCTTGCGTGACGTCATTTATGACGTCATCAAGGTCATATTCGTTTTTCGTCAATAACTCTTGATCAAATTGAGCTAGCGAGTCGGGAAAGCCACCAATGGACTCAGGAAGACCTGCCGAATCGAATGATATGCGACATGACCTCTTTCGACGAACTTCGTGGCCTGGGGGTGCTGACCTGACCTTGACCTGAGGTCACCACCCTAAGTTGATCTGACCCGGACAAAAAGTATATCATTCGACGCGCCTGAGCGAGGCGAACACGATGCTGCCAAAATCGCGGCTCTGCGGCCGTTTTTTGCGAAGTTATTCACCAAAAACTGAACCGTACCTTGGGGCACTTGACCTGACCTCAGAGGTCACCGGTTAACCTAGGACCTTAAAATCGGGTACCAATCTCTGCGTCTCGTAACGGCGCACACGCTCGTTTTTTCCGCGACGCGCTAGCTCCACCAGGGGCGAAACGGCGAGGGGGGGGGGGGTTGTACCCGCCCCCCCCCCCCCCTCGGCCGGCGCGTATGTAGAAAACCAATAGGTCCGGCGAGGGTTAAAGAAATCACTTCGATTATGTTTTTTGAACTACACTGACAGCACTGAGTATCCTGGAAATTTTCCCATGCATTTGCATGCGGGAGAACTGGGACAAGGTTTAGTTACGTTGTCCTAGTTCTCCCCAAGTCGTCATTTTTATTTCAACTGCTCTCCCACACAAAAGTATAACAGTTACATAAAAAAATGTTTCTGCATATATTTAGATGACTTCACTGACATCCAAAGGTGAACGGCCTGAACATTTCACATCGCTGAGTAAACGGCAAATTGAATTAGAGTACAATGCCAAAAAATCACATTTTAGACCCCCACTCAATATCTCAGAGACAGGCAACCGGAAAAGGAAACCGCTTGGTTGTGACGTACGCCGACTAAATTCATGAGAAAATATGCAAAAACAAAACTGTTTGTCCAATCGGTCACCCAGATATTGAAGGTGTCCCACTTCTCCTCCGTCCCAGTTATCCCCACTCTCCCTAACGGAAATGTCTGAAGGCGTGTGAGAGAGAGAGAGAAAGAGAGAGAGAGAGAGAGAGAGAGAGAGAGAGAGAGAGAGAGAAAGAGAGAAAGAGAGAGAGAGAGAGAGAGAGAAAGAGAGAGAGAGAGAGAGAGAGAGAGAGAGAGAGAGAGAGAGAGAGAGAGAGAGAGAGAGAGAGAGAGAGAGAGCAAATGAGGCGAGGGAACAGTGGTATCGTTATTCGTTGTACGGCTCACACTAACCGAGAACATTGTGCGGCGGTCCGGGCGAGGTGCGCGATGTTTATAGTCGGCCTCATGCCCCGATGAGATCCTTTGTATGTTGGGGCGCCACACAATGGCGTCATTTATCTCCAGCATTGGCCCGCTGCTCCTCTATTCAGGGGCGCTCGTTTGCTGTGACCGACACCTATACACTGTTATAGGCAGGGGGCAGGGGCGCATCTCTTACAGCGGTGTTCCAATTGGCGGGTCACACACAGGAGTGCACGGGCGTTTGATGTGCCTAGGTATCTAATATATGAGCTTATATGAGCTTATTTATATATGTGCGCCTAAAAAGACAGGTAACTAAGTTGAACGAACTGTCATAAGTCTATAGCTTCGTTAATAAGTCGACAGTCGTCTTAATTTTATCAGGATTAAGTAAGCCGTGCTAATGAGACGCCTGAACGTTGTTTCACCAAGGTATTTTGGCTTTAAAACCGTGATTTTTTATCTCGCCCCACCCCACACGCTGTTCCGACTCCTTTGTGTTTTCAGGAAAATAATTTCCGCCGGTCCGAGACGCTCGAGCGTTCAGAGTGCCAGCTCCCCTACCGGCTCTGTTATTCTCACTGATTTACTGGGCCATAAATGTTGGCCATTTTGCGCTCTCTGAGTCGGTAAAAACTGCGCTGTGTTTGGCTAGAAGGCAACTACGTCAAATCAATGTCATATCAATGTCAAGTAGGCTGTTTTCTCACGAATGAGAAAACGAATAGATTTCTTAATTGATGAGAAAGTCTACTGTTTCGGTAGCTTGTCCTAACCGTTGCCATATTTTGCACGATTTGATATTAATTGGTCAGAATACCACCATACTGTGCCATAACGTATAATGGTTTCGTGAAATTTGCCATGAAAGTAAAAAAGATACCTACCTAATAATTTCGGAAACGTCTAAAATTCTACTTGCTCACCCGCTGTGTATTGCCGAGATATACAGCTCTCCGCATGCGCATAGCGCCCGTTTCTCCCATCCACCTATGAATAGCAGCAGCGTCCCGTGCCGGTACGTCCCAAAGTACTCATATATCGGGTCGTATCGATCCCCAATGGCATTTGGCCACGCCTCTCATTAACTGCGTGATAAATCGGGCATCCGGGCGGCGGCGGGCGCAGTGCAATAGCGGGCGCCAGATATCGCCGCCACCGCGTCAGATATTGCCACCCGGCGCCAAAGACCGGGAGCCAGGGAGTGTCCATTGACGCGACCGAGATTTGGGAGGAGAGAAAGAAGGCCTATGTTATGTAACAGAAGGCCTATGTTATGTTACAGAAGGTATGTTATGTAATGTTACAGTCAGTGGCCGTTTCCATCACGGGCTGTCTGGCGAATGCACCAACTTTGACTGCATCTGCACCAAATATCTTTAACAACGAATATCTTCATATGATGAATTCATTTCAGTGTTTTAATCGAAAATACTGTCTGCTAATTAAAAATGAGGTGTATAAGCATCTTTGCAACCCAAACTTATAGCTTATCAGAAACACAATGAACCTAATTTGACCAAATATGCACCTAATCTGCACCAAATATGTACCAGATGGCCGTCGTGAAAACGGATAAGGCAATTTGCGAAAACGTGTTCCTTCACTCTTATATAAAAGAGATGCGCCTATACTCTCGCTGCTAAGCATCCGTTTTGAGCTCATGTGGGCATATATTCGTTATATGATTTATTTGAACGCATTAATGTACAAAAGCTTCTAATAAACGTAAAGGGACGTCACATTCATTTCCCACAAACCATTCACCATGCAGTCCCACGTTCCAGTGGTATGACGCAGTCCGCTCACTGGCTGGTCTGTGTTTCTCTGACTCGATGGCGTTGTCGCCGGCTCGCCGCAGGCTACTATAACCAGCAGCCGGTGAGGTCCGAGGCGTTCTCGGCTCCGACCGACGGCGGCCCGTCGGTCCGACGGCGTGCCGACACCCCCCGCGGAGGACACTACCGACACCTCTCCTACTTCGGCTCCGTCATCATGGGCATCGGAGGTGGGTGACGACGATTATCACATTCCTCCTTTTTTCTCATTTCTATGAGTCTCTAAATGTTCGGTCTGCTTCACACATCCCCCTTTTCAGCTTTTATTTGACTCCGTAGTCTTCGTATACCTATTATTGGGCCTTTATATACCTGTTGACGGTTTAACTCAATAAAAAACGCTTCACTAAGTTGTGCCTCTTGCTCGCCATGCACGTTCCTTTTCTCTATAGCTTTCCTGACTTTCCTGTTTGTTTATCACGTTTCTTCCCTGATTTAGTCGTGGGCCACGCGGTGAGTGCTGTCCAACTGTCCATTTAGTACCTGCAGTTGGCCGGGGTGTGGTGTTACGCTTTGTCGGCAGTTTTCTGACAGCGGTGACCAATAACGAGAGCTTACAGCGCGAAGAGCAGTCCCACCTTTCCAAACCAAGCGGTCCCCTCCTCTTCTGAAATAGAAGAGGATGACCGGCTGCTTAACCGGCCCTGTTAAGATTTCAGGCGCTCTCTCAGCGACTTAAGGCATCCTATTTCAAATCAGACTTTCCAAATATTGCATGGATTTCAGAGCAATTGGCTTTATAACAGCTGAAACAGCATTGCAATGTTTTAATGATCAACATTTGTTTGTTTGAGACTCGTGAAATAATGTGTTTATTCCCTTGGAGGCCGCGGAGCCATATGACGCTCAAATCAGCCGTGCTGGACTGAAAGCCGGTGACGCGGCTGGCTCAGCCGCACACTTGGGCCGTGCTGATGAGTTCAGTTCACAGCCCGAGCAGGGGTACCTAATTAGCGGCACGGAGAGCTGTCGCCGCCCTGCTGGGAAGCACATACACAGCGCCGGCTGGAGCACGAGACGGTTCCCCGGCCGATCACACTACCCTGTTCCCGGACAGACGGCTGGCTCGACACTGCCGATGCATGTACATACATATATGTATAGGACCAACTTCTGTGTATGGTTCGGAGCAGACACCACAGATCTGGTCCAGGACCATGTCAGAGATGTGGTCCAGGACCATGTCAGAGATGTGGTCCGGGACCGTGTCAGAGATGTGGTCCGAGACCGCGGCTCGTCTGGAGACTCGTTATCATGATCAGCCTAGACGAGATGATGCATCCGGAGCTCTATATATGGCTTCGGCTCCCAAGGCCCGGGTAAATGATGAGGCTTCGGGGCTTCTACTTATGCTGCTATGCCGCAGTAATTACAATGCGGCATAATAGGCATATTTTTAGCGCAACTTGTTATTATTATAGCGCGCTGCGGTGCATTGCTGTGGTGCTGCGCAGTGCGCCAGTATTTTTTTTTTTTTTTTTTGCACAACGTGATGCTGTGCCGCGACACATAGGAATAACATTGGAATGAATAGGGGAAGCCGGGGGAAGCCCGGGCGCGGGGGAAGCCCGGCCACCCCGTTTGCGGCTAAATTATTCACAATAAAATGCTAAAGTGCTTGTCCTTTCAGCGTTGCAGCTGAGGTAACGCCAGCGTAAAAGTTAACGCTAACAAAAATTGTATATTGCTAAAGTTATAGAGCAAAAATGATATTTTAAGGGTTTTTAGCTAAAAACTGAGACATGTTGCACTGTTAATTAACCCGCGCCCTGATGGGGGGGGGGCCATTTTGGCCCCCCCTGTGGTTGTTCTTAAATAGCGAGAAAACGGCGGCGCGCAGCGCCGCCAAATTTTGGGTACCTTACCGGGCATCAATTTGACACCTTGACACAAAACTACAAGTCACAGGTCACCTCAGGTCAGGAGTTATTGAGGTCAAACTGAGGTCATGTTCGAGTAAAAATGACCAAAAAACATGACATCTTGAAACGCTCACCAATTCTACAGTTAACAAGCAATTTTAAAGTTCTTTTTGTGGTTGTGTAGAGAAAAAACGGCGCTACAAAACTGCTATCTCGGATTTTCGAAATTTTGGGATTTTGACCCTCAAAAATCAAAAAAATAGATTTTTTTCAGAAAAACTCAAAAAATTTCCAAACATTTTTCGAATTTCGAAAAAACCGGAATATATGTGATAGTCCCTGCGCTTTTCGATATACATACCAAATTTATGATCGATACCTCTTTTTTTGGCCAAGTTATAGCGAAAAAACTGTTAAAAATTGATGACGTCAAATTTTTGAACTCAATTTTTAGCAATTCTAGACCTCGTAGCGCAAAACGGAGACCACCATTGAACTCCTCGTGACGAGCTGCATCGAATCGATACCAATTTTATGCAAAAATATCAACTTTAAAATTTGACCTAATTTGACCTGACCTTGACCTGACCTTGACCTGACCTTGACCAAAACGTGACCTAAGCTGGCCCAAAAGTCTGCCTGACCCACATAGTCGCATTTGTCATGTAAAATGGACCATAAAACATGTATCACACGACACTTTCATATTGTGACCCCCCCAGTGACCTGACCTCTGTGACCTGACCTGGTATCAGTGACCTCAAATAGCAAAATATGTGTTTGAAGAACATTTCCCCATCGATGATTTTCAATGAAATGCATTTTACTCGATTTTACAACGCATTTCTTGAAATGCCTGTAAACGGTGAAAATTCGACTTTTGACCTGACCTGTGACGTCATCGGTTTGACCGAGGTCAATGAAATTGGGTCACAAGGTAGTTCCCCGTTGGGGCTATCCAACGCCGTTTACCGCTTGTCGCTATGTTGCGTGGTTCTCGAGATCTTAGGGGGGGGGGGCAAAATGCCCCCCCCCCCCATCAGACCGCGTTGCTCGGCAGACCCCATCAGGGCACGGGTTAATGTTATAACATACAACCCTAATATTTATACGAATGTTATGAAAGGATCGTTACGAGCGAGCGAGCGCAGCGAGCGAAGTGAGTCTTTTCAATATAACGGAAAAATCTCAGTATGAGCGGCCCGGCCCGGCCCGGCCCGGCCCGGCCTGTAACGCTTTTGAGAGGCTTATATCTCAGCAACGGCTGGATCGATTGGCCTGCGGTCTTTTTTGCTGGGTAGCCCCATCCCTTCTACCCCGTAATTGACTACTTTTGATACATCTCAGTGACCGTCGTGGCACGTGCCACGTGAAAAGTCAAGGGTGTTCAAGCTGTTTTGCAAAAGTAGTGATTTTGAGAGGCTCATATCTCAGCAGCCGCTTGGGTGATTGACTTGCGGTAATTTTTGTAGGGTAGCAGCATCCCTTCTACCAAAAATAGGATACTCTCGATGCATGTGGGTCACCCCCAGTGCACGTGCAAAATACAACAATAAGAGCTGTCAAATTTGTTCCCATTTTAATAACTCGGTAATTACTGTGGCGATTTCGCTGAAACTTGGCATACAGGTAGGCACCCACCAGGCAATGCATTCCCATGTGTTGCGGTTAAGGTGCTACTGCACGTGCGCACGTGCAGGTGGCGCTTCCAGATCTCGAGAACGGCTGGGCCGATTGCGCTCAAATTTGGTACACGGTTGGGGACCAGTTATTAGGGTGCCGTGCAAAAGTCTGTTTGGACCCCGTTTGCACGTGCGCACGTGCAGAATGCCGCTTCCAGATCTCAAGAACGGCTGGGCCGATTGCGTTCAAATTTGGCACACCGCTAGCGACCAGTTAGAAGGGTGTTTTGCACAAGTCCGTTGGAAGTACCCTCTCGCCCTTCCGCACGTGCAGAGCTCACTATCTCGCTCGCTCGTTCTTCGCCCAAAAGGCGTTTTACTGGTTTAACCCGCGACCTGGTGGTGGGGGGGCTATTTTTTGCCCCCCTCCAGACTTTTCGATATATCTCCAGAACCGCTGCGCCGATCGTCACCAAACTTTCAGTACCCTCCCGGACATTAATTTTACACATTGTGACCAAAAATTTTTCCAAAGGCTATGATAGGTTGGCCGGAAATGACGTCAGAGTGACGTCATGTTCTGCCGTTTTCGACACAAAAAAGGGTTTCGCGGGAAGAGCTGTCAGGCCTATAGCTTTGCAAATACAGAAAAATGATAAAGACATAAAAGCTGTAGAATCGACAGGGCTACAAAACTGCAATCTCGGATTTTTGAATTTTTTGGATTTTGTCCCCCAAAAATCAAAAAATATATTTTTTGGATATAATAATCGAAAAATCCAAAAAGTTTTTTGAATTTCGCAAAAACCGGAATATATGTGATAGTCCTTATCGCCTTCTATCCACATACTAAATTTGAGATTGATACCTCTTTTTTTTGGCGAAGTTATAGCGAAAAAACTGTTCAAAATTGATGACGTCAAATTTTCAAACTCAATTTTTAGCAATTCCAGACCCCGTAGCGCAAAACAAAGACCACCATTAGACTCCCCGTGATGAGCTGCATCGAATCAATACCCATTTTATGCAAAACTATCAACTTTAACCCTCGCCGGCCGAGGGGGGGGGCGGGTGCCGCCCCCCCCCATAGGGTTTTTTCGCGATAGCTCCGAACACGCTGACGATAGAGAGCTGAAACCTGGCATAGCTGACCTTTGATCCAAGCCGCATCTTTTGACACCAACTGCATTTTTGGGTCAGGTCAGGTCACTGACCTATGACGTCATAAGTGAACCTCTGCACGGTCTTCAGATGTCGCAACTTCGCAACGCCCTCACTGCCAGAGGAGATGTCACAGGGAAATGAAACTTGTAGGATCTAGTATCCATTATGAGTCTCACAACTTGTATATCTCGGATTTTTCCTAAAGGTCATATGAGGTCAGGTCATTTTCGTGACCTCACCATTATAAGTCAATGGGGAAAAATGAAAACTGCTATTCTGGCGCCGGGAACGATCTCCAACTATCTCAAGCACACAGAATAGTGATTTGATGCACTCCTTGCAAGGTTAGATGCGTCAATTTTGCAATGTTGACCTTGCGTGACGCCATTTATGACGTCATCAAGGTCATATTAGTTTTTCGTCAATAACTCTTGATCAAATTGAGCTAGCGAGTCGAAAAAGCCACCAATGGACTCAGGAAGACCTGCCGAATCGAATGATATGCGACATGACCTCTTTCGA